CGGCCGCTGCCGGCAGCGCAGGAAGCCTGGCGTGAGAAGGGATGGCGGGGCATGCGGGGGAGGCTCTGGAGGCGAAGACATCTGGATAGGTGCAAGCTCAGCGGGCTTGGGGGAAGAGCAGAACCCCGGCAGAGCCCTGGATCGGTGAGGTTTAAGTCACCAAAAGCGCGTGTGGGGCGGAGGTAATGCCCCGGCTCCTGGGCGAGAGCCAGTCAGCACTGTTCCTCTGACCCCCAAGTGCTGTGTTTGATTGGGCTGTGGCTGTGAGATGAGCAGAACACCCTTCTTGTTTCTTAAGAAAGTTAAAAAAAAAAAAAAAGGGAAAAAGGTGGTATTGCAATTAAAAAAAAACCCTGGACTCTGCTCTTTGCATAGCATGAGGGGAGGGAGGGAAGAACGTGACCGTCTACTTCATATTTAAACTTCCTTTCCTGCATAGAAGTGTGTTAGCGTGACATGTTGGGAGCAAAGTCCTCGACCTTTTCATTACAGGAAGGAAACCACATTAAAAGGTGCTTTCCTTGATACTTATTTTTTCTCCTCTTCCTTTATTGAGTTGGCAAAATTTTGAAGTATCACATCCCAAAGGATTATGATGGTGATGCTACTCGCCCACCAGCAAGTACCACAGCATGAATTTGGACACCGTCTCCCTTAGCATCAAGTACTCCAAAAGTGTTCACCTTACAACCTTACATAACAAAAATGCAAAACGGGACCAGCCTTGTACTTCTTAGCCAGACAGATACCTCCCTCAAGCACAAGGAATTTGAGGCTGCACAAAGACAGCATATAGATTTATATAAGCGACAGTTTTTGAACATTGTGAGAGATGAAGGACTGTATTGCTGCACAATGGGTGTGCTGATGAGGAAAAAAATGATCAAAAGGCCTTGCCTGTCTCCCTGAAGAATTCCTGGGGTGAACTCCTTGGGTGCATGGGTTGGCAGGATGGGCCAGTGCAGGAGTGTGTCTTCTACACGAAAGCACCACTGGAGAGCCCCCTGCGCCATTCCCCCTGGCATGGGGTGGGGGGCAAGGCTGCAGGAGTCAGTCCGTGAGCTGCTATTATTGAAGAGTAGTCAAGGTCATTAAGTCAGTACTGAAAGATCTGATCTGAAGCCTGTTCTGCCTGGTTTTGGTAGTCTCACAGTAGATTCGTTGTGGTTGCAGGGCAGTGCTGCAAGGTATGCTGCAGGGGCCAAGTGTTTGAAGTTGAGAGCGTTCGGCATCTCCAGGATCTGCAATCCTGTTGCTAGGAATGGCACACAAAAAGCAAAGCTGCTGGCTGATCTGGGCTGAGCAATTCCTAGGGCTTCTGTGATGGGTTGTGTGCTACGTTGCCCAACAGCTCGATGCATTGGAAACAAGCAAGCACGATGTTGTCTTATTAAGTGGCGAACTGCTCCAGCTCAATTTTTGAGCAATGCCACTGTATTTAATGTCAAATGAACGAGCATTACCAGCCTTCACTTTTGAAAATCAGCACACGGTGCTTCTTTCCCTTTCTTTTACATCTATGAAAGCAGGTCAAGAGAGGGAACACCAGCATAGTTTCTCTTTCTCTTACAAAGCTCGTTATGAACTCTTGTGATTAGCTGGAGACATTCATTAGTTTTGCTGGTGTAACCACTTTTGGTTTTGAATTCGAAATGTTAATCACGTTCCTAGTGGGTAGCAGCCAAACGCAGCTATTACAAAGCAATAGATCACAGGCATCATTGCACTCATAAAGAGAACGTATCTTTTATATAAAATTTAAATATTACACTACATGAGTTCATGTCTTCAGTCCTCACTTGGGCAGAGTCCCCAAGCTGGCAGGCAGTCTCTGGGAGCTCATCTAATTCATGCTAGTCTGCATACTTAATTAGTTAACGCAAAGAGTTTTGAGAACACTTTTTGTTTGCCTTTCCCCCCCCCCACCTCTGTCTGAATAATTTCTTTAAGTCTGCCTAGTGCATTGTGGTCCACTGAATGTTTTTCCAAGCCTGAGTCCCAAGCTCTCCGTCCTCAGGGCTAGCCCTCAGCTGTTGTAGTCTCTGGAGGAATGGCATTATCCTGCCCTCCTTTCGTGGGGAGTCTGTCTGAACAGTGACTCATGCAAGAGGGAATCCCTGAAGAATGATCAAATCAATCCTTCAGCTGCAGAGGCAGCGGCTTGGTGCTTTCAGCTTAACCCCTTACTGGCTGCCTTTCAGCCAAGAAGCCATGTGAAACAGAGCAAAACATACTTTGCAGCCCTGCAACTGGCATCTCACAGAGGAGGAGTGAGGCAGCCGAGGCGTGAAGGCAAGGCACACTGAACAGAGGGTGGGAGGAGTGCTGTGAGGAGAACCCCTCACGGTGTGGTCCAGCGCTTGGGCAGAAGGCACCCCTTTGGGTAAATAATGAGTCTGTTCAGAAGTGGACTGAAATTTGCTCAAGCCTTTTACAGTACCGTAAAAAAGTTCTGACATGTTGAAATGAGTCCTTATTTTACGGGATTTTGGTCAATGTTTTATTGCTTGCACATCAGACCATATTTTCCAGTGATGAATGATGGTGTAAAATGACCATTCAAGAAACCTATCAGTAGTAAAAATGTGAACACTGAATGTGCTCCGAGAGGTTCATTCTTCTAAATTCAGAATTTCTTTAGACTGGGGAGTCCCACGATGACTTTGTCTCTCACAAATTACACTAATAATTGTTTTTCTTACATTCTTTCACTTTCTGGCTCTGTAGTCATGCTTTTCTCTTCCTGAGTTTCAAAAGGGTCTTGTGAGTCCATATGTCATGGTTGTTGGATGCTAGATTTATGATGTCCAGTACCAATCTGTTTTTCAGAAGAAGAATTAGTACTTTCTCAACTATAAAAAAAGCTGCAACTTCTTACTGGCAAGGACCCTTGATGCCTGTAGGCTGGTATTTGCTCTGGTGTGTTCTAGTTGCAGAAGTAGATGAAATGAAGTTGGTGCTTGTTAGCTATGGGAGGAGGTGTTTGGCTAGGAGGGACAAAAACGTTTTCTGTCTAACACACACATCTGCAAGAGCAGGGATCGTGACCTGGAATTACAATAAAAGACACTGATGTATTTAATTATATTTTTAAAACTTTTTATTTAGTTTCTAGATTAGAAACATACCAGGCAACAAAAATCTTGAGGGAAGTTCAGAAAATGCAGAGGTGTTTGGGGAGTATGTTTTAAGGACTATATATCTGTCAGCTACCTTTTTTTGGTAACAGCTTCTGCAAACACTGCGTATTTGTTTTCAAAGCTAGTTTTTTGAAGGTACGTGAGTTACTGAACACAAAGCAACACAAAAGCCTTACAGAAATGACCAGACTGCTGGCTCCGAGTATATCAGATTATGATTAGTGATCTATAAAACTGAACACGGTGCAAAAATCCTACTTTTTCTTCACTCAGTTCACATGTTTCCTGTAACTGATGAGTGAAAGCTCACTGATGAGACATAAAGCCAATATCCCAAGCACCAAAGCACAGGAGCGTTATGGGTATGTCTTCCTGGTACGCTCTAGGATGTTGTAGAGTTGCCCAAGATATTTTAGGATTTAGAAAGAGTCTTGCACTAAGATCTGAGTTAATCTACCCTGAAAATCGCTCCTTGCTCCCGTAGCTAGAATGGTTTTGGCACTGGAACTAGCTCAAGTATTTCTGGACTTCACGGATTTGGCCAAGTCCAGACATACCTAAGAGATCAGGTTAAGCTGACTGAAATCTTCATTATTAGCAAGTGGCAATCTATGGGAAGAAATGGATATTTGGTGTATTATTATTAGTTCACATTCAGTTGAGTTTCCACTAGTAAGTTAGAGCTCCAGACCCATTTCTTTGGTTTTGTGCTTAGTGACCGGAGCTCAAGGCAAGAGTTTTAAAGAGCGAAAAGGCAGAAATGCAACACCCAGCTTCACTGCAGGATTAGTTTCTCAAATAACACTGACTTTGAAATTCTGGTTCTGGGCTGTTAATGATGAGGACCATTTTGTCCTGGTCAAAGGCCTGCATTTAAGCTTCCACGTGACAAATGCCCCTCCTTGAAGATGCATCACTCTCTTTGACGGACATTGATAGAGTTCACAACTTGTAACGCTGTATCTCTGAGTA